CTGGAATGGGACAGGATCCTCAAAATTCCCAAAATTCCCAAAAAAATCCCGAAATTCCAAAAAAAATCCCGAAATTCCCAAAAAAATTCCAATAAAAATGACCTAAAATGGCCCTGATTTTTTTTGTGATTTTGGGGTGATTTTTTTGTGTTTTTCTGTAATTTTTTTTCAATTTTTTTTTGGTTTTTTGTGATTTTTGGGAATTTTGTAATTTTTTTGTGATTTTTTTGTCATTTTTTGTCATTTTTGGGGTCATTTTTGTTGATTTTGGGTCACTCACAGCCTCGTGCTCCTTCTCCAGCGCCGCCGTGGTCGGGTCCATCTCGGCGTAGGTCTGCAAAACCAGTACGGACCAGTTTGGACCAGTTTGGACCAGTTTGGACCAGTTCAAACCAGTATGGACCAGTTTGGACCAGTACGGACCAGTTTAAACCAGTACGGACCAGTTTGGACCAGTATAGACCAGTCTGAACCAGTTTAAACCAGTACAGACCAGTTTGAACCAGTACGGACCAGTTTGGACCAGTTTTGACCAGTATAGACCAGTTTAAACAAGTAAAAACCAGTTTGAACCAGTTCGGACCAGTTTAAACCAGTACGGACCAGTTTAAACCAGTACGGACCAGTTTAAACCAGCTTAAAACAGTATAAACCAGTTTAAACCAGTTTAAACCAGTTTGAACCAATACGGAGCAGTCTGAACCAGTTTGAACCAGTAAGAACCAGTTCAAACCAGTACGGACCAGTTTAAACCAGTACGGACCAGTTTGGACCAGTTTGGACCAGTTTAAACCAGTACGGACCAGTTTGGACCAGTTTGGACCAGTTCAAACCAGTACGGACCAGTTTGGACCAGTATAGACTAGTTTAAACCAGTAAAAACCAGTTTGAACCAGTTCAGACCAGTTTAAACCAGTACGCACCAGTTTGGACCAGTTCAAACCAGTACAGACCAGTTTAAACCAGTACGGACCAGTCTGAACCAGTTTGGACCACTTTAAACCAGTATAGACCAGTTTGAACCAGTAAGAACCAGTTTAAACCAGTACGGACCAGTTTAAACCAGCATAGGCCAGTTTGAACCAGAATGGACTAGTTTAAAACAGTTTAAACCAGTTTGAACCAGTAGGAACCAGGTTAAACCAGTTTAAACCAATACAAACCAGTACAAACCAGTAATGCTCAGGAAACTTCTTAGGGGCCCCAGTGAAGGTCCAGTTTATCCCAGTTCATCCCAGTTTATCCCAGTCCATCCTAAACCTATCCCAGTCCATCCCAGTCCATCCTAAACCCATCCCAGTCCATCCCAGTTTATCCCAGTCCATCCTAAACCTATCCCAGTCCATCCCAGTCCATCCTAAACCCATCCCAGTCCATCCCAGTTCATCCTAAACCCATCCCAGTCCATCCCAGT